AACCACTGCACCACCAGGGTTTCCATACAAGCCAGAAGTATTTAGAGGTGAAATGGCATGATGCTAGCTAGGGACTTGTATTAAAATACTATTACCAAAACACACACACACACACACACACACAAAAGGAGGGGAGGGAGAAAAAAGACAGAGACTAAGAAAGTAGATGAAATTTTATCATTACTGAGTCTTGAGGACGGGATGTATATTTAGGGATTCATTATGTCATCTTTTCTGCTTCTGTGTATGTTTGAAAACTTTCTAAAGAAAAAGTTTTAAAAGAGCTTTAAAAAAAAAAGATTTGTTCTTCAAACCTAGTAAGTAATTTGAAGGGCGGGGGGTGGGGGGCGGGAAGGATATTTTTCACCATTCTGTGGGCTAAACTCCTTATAGGAAACACAAGATATATGAGAATTTATCATTAAAATATTTTAGCCAAATCAAGAAACAACATGAGCTCATTGATATCCTTAGCATTAAATTACTTTCGGGACTTATGGAAGTGATGTAACCGGGCTTATGTAAGACAAGATCTCGCAGATCTCAGATCTCCTGACTGGAGAGAGAAAGGAGAGGGTTTAGAAAATTAATTCTTGCCAGGCTAGGATGAAATGCTATCATGTATGCCAAGGAATTCTGGGAGATAGCAGAAGCAAAGAGGAACTCATTAATGGAAGATTTTTGTTGATAGCAAAATAATTTTCCCACCAAAATCCTTTTGGTCAGTAAAATTTGAGGCTATTTCTCACTTGTTTATGGATTATTCTGAATGACAAGGAGAGGAAATACCTACATGTTTTGTGTAGAGCTCTGTCTCAAATGTCTGCATCTTTCTTAACTATTGTATGCTTTCTGGGGCTTACTGCCATCCCTCACTGAGAGAAATATTCAAATAAAATTGTTCTTCTAAGAATTGGACTCGTTCCTCTCTGTAAAGAAGGAAGTCCATTAGCCTCTGAACTTTCCTAATGATCAAGCAGGGCTTGATATCTTCAGCTTTGATTTTTCAGATAAAACTTCAAAGTGAAGCTTAAGAGAAAAGTGACTCCACATGAACAAAGCCAACAAAAAAATATCTAAACTTCTCTGAGTCGGTCACAGATCTGTCGAGATCATTCTAGAAAAGAATCCCTAAGGAATAAAATCACAAGTCTACAAACATTCTGCAAAGGAATGTAAGGCTTTAGGTAAAAACCTAGTTTCATGACCAAATCAATACAGCGAACTAAGGCACAGTGGAATTTTCTAAATTATGTTTAATCTGAATCAAATTAGCTGGAAGATGCCACAATCCAGACCACTCCTTTACATCAGATTTCCAACTCCATTGTTCAGAACATTGCACGGAATGTTAACAGATGTTCCTCAAAGAAAGAAGTTCGTGATGAAAATCAGTTAAAAAAAAAAAAAAAAGTTGCCTCAAGACCAAGCTGGAGTTTGAACACAGCAAAGGCCCTGGGCATTTCTTCTCCTGTTTAATTGTAACTCAGCTTTTCCCAAGCTCATTTTACCTAGACCCTTTTTGGAGCAAATATCATTACTATCTTATAGATAATATTCTGCAGGTTGGGTAAAGAAGGGTTGGTCTACACTGACTTGCTACCAAAGCAATTACCTAGTTTCCGCTTCTCTGGGCTTTGCACAGACATAGTCTTATTAGCTTTGCCAAAATTTTCAGTTAACCAACTTCTCAATAGCTAGAGTCCATTTTAGGTCAACTTGCTTAATCCTTTAATTTATGCAAAATGTATGAATTCTAAAGAAGAAACACAAAGCCAAAATATTTTCTGGTGTTCTTACAAACAAACAAGCAAATAATGGTGTTGTATAAATCTAGCTGAATCATTATTACCATATCACCAGGAAATAATCGATTCAGCATCACCAATCTTGTGTAACTGTCTCTATAAAACAGTATTAACTTTAGACACTAATGCCAGAGAGCTTCAGAAAGACATCTGAAGAATGGATAATTAGAACAAAGTAAGAATTATTGTAAGATACTGAACCAAATATTATACAACAAGAAAAAATGCAATGCCAAGAATGGTACATTAAATA